CTTGGCTGGCCTGGGAACGCCTTGGTGTTCCCCCGGATAAGCTGGAGGAGGTGGCTGGGGAGAGGGAGGTCTGGGCCTCTTTGCTTAGGCTGCTGCCCCCGCGACCCGGCCCCGGATAAAGCGGATGGATGGATGGGTCAATGACCCTGTTGCTGGTTCACTACTGTTTGTTCCTTGGACCAGTTCTGATAGATGCACACCACGGCAGGACAGAATTACTACACAAGAACGGCAGTTTTGGCTTTGACCCAGTCGAACTGGCATTTTTAACATTGTTGAAGCGCCATCAAAGATGAAGCTTTGCTAGCGGGACTCCGTGTTTGACTTGTGTCTCTGTGTCTCTAACTGGAATCAAACCAGTTCAACCAATTTATGATTCACTGAATTCAGTGTTTATTTACATTCATACAGCAACACAACTTTTAAGGAAACAAACTCCAGAGAAACACTGACTTTAAAACCAAACCTGGCAAGAGGAAAATGGTGGCATACCTTGGGCAGAGTCGAAGGTCCCACAGTCGAATAAAGGTATCATAACCACAGGTGAAGAGCTGGAACGGAGACTCAAACCTGATATCCAGCACACCGGCACCACGACGAAAGTCTGAGCCCAGAGTGCCTAAGGATATCGATCTAGTGAAGACAGGAGTGGTAAATGTATTTATTGAGGTTTTTTATTCCACATATGAAATTAAACAGAATTTAAAAACTGAAAAAAAGAAACTGAAAGTTATTTTTTTGTGGTTTTGTGTTTTGTTCGCCAGCATGACATTGCTGAGTCATTCCTATGCTAATATGCACAGTAGGTTGAATAATTAGACAAATTAATGCTTAACTAGTGGTGCTCTAAGGGGCTATTGGAGAGCTTTATAATAATATGAATACAGTATAGGGCGATACACAACTGTTATTTAATACATGTTAGTCACAGTTTCAGTATTTACGAATAAAAGCTACGTCTCACTCCACATCTGTCATTGCTTTAATAAAGGCAAGAGCCAGAGTGTCAAGCCACAGTATTCTGCCAGCCCCAAGCATGGATGAGTGCAGAGGACTGCATCGGGAAAGGCAACCAACATAAAATCTTTGCCAGATTAAACATGAAGATCATCAACAAAACATCCGTACTGGAATGGGCGTGGCCCAGGTTAACAACGACTGCCACCGGTGCTGTTGGCCAGGATGGTGCCGGTGGAAACGGTGCTACTGTTGGCTGAAGACGGAGGCGTTGAAAGAAGAGGAGGAGAACGCATGTTTTGAGGCCGTGAGAGAGAAAGAAGATTATGAGTGTATATGTGAGGGTAAAAATTTGAAACACAGGGGCATAAGAGGGAATTCAAACTATTCTACCATAGTGAAGATAGGAAGAGGAATAGAATATATGAAAAGTGTTGTGCAGATGAAGAGGATGTTGAGTTTGAAGCTGGGAATCAACGGACTAATACTGAATGTTCTCAATTTAATGTTAGAAGTGAAAGAGTTATTCTGGAGTAAGTTGGATGAAGTGGTAGAAAGCGTGCCCAGATAAGAGAGAGGTGACGAGAATGGACTTCAGTGGAGGTGACGGGAAGAGAAGGGAGGAATAAAGCAGTAGAGGAACATGCCGTGGACTATCTTTAGACGCTGCAACCCAACATGTGGTGTCAGGGGAGAATGTTGCTAGGCAGTGTTAGATGGTTGGATGGAGGGTGACTAAAAGTCAAGAAAAAGAAGCAAGACCCAAAGATTACTTTGTGGAAGTTTAAGAAGAAAGAATGTTGGTACTTTCAGCTGCTCCCATATTTCCTGAGCAATCACTCAGGATCATGTCTGAATCATGTTTTGATTTAGCACAGCTTTAATGCCGAAAGCCCTTCCTGATGTAACCCTCCCCATTTATCCAGGCATGGGACCAGCACTGGGACTAACTGGTAAATGGACTGGTTCTTATATAGCACTTTTCTACACTACTGGAGTAAGCGCTTTATACGACTTGCCTCTTTCACCCATTCATACAAGCACCTCTTTTCCTATGCCTATGTGCTTTTCTATCTAACATTCACACTGCAGTTAATGTATTGTAGATCAACCATGGATTCAGTATCTTGCCCAACAGCCAAGCTTCCAACCTACAGATAAGTAGATGACCAGCTTGTGACCACCTGAGGCTGGGTTAGTGGCTCTTACTCTTGAACTAATGGTCTTTTGTATTGGTGCAACGGATCACGGTTGATCCGTAATCCGAACCGATCCCACTCCACGGTTCGGCACGCACAAAGATTCGAAAAAGAAGGAAAAAAAGTATGCGTGGTGAGTCTGTCAAGTGATAGTTATGGCCAGCGCTAGCGGTCCAAGTGCAGGAGCAGAGGAGTTTGCTGCCCAGTCCGACCGGGCTAAAGCTATTACAGAAGCTGTTGGGGTGTTTAGCTGCAGACGGGAGGCCGTATTCTGTTGTGCAAAACAAGGGGTTTAAACTACGATGAACGTGCTTCAGCCACGCTACGATATCTCGTTGCGCGTCCACTTTAGTGGCAAGATCGTTCCAAGCATGTCTGAGCAGCAAAGGATTTAAGTTGTGGCTGAACTGTCCCAGGCATCTTCTGTTGCCCCAGCTACAAATGGGTGGAGCTCCAGGGCAACGGAAAGCTTCGTGACCGTGACAGCTCATTATGTCGCAGCGGAGTGCGATATAATGAGCCTTGAGGCGACTGTTGTTGTGATTTGGTGCTGTGTAAATAAAACTGAATTGAATTGAGTGGTAGATACAAAGACTGTACTGCCCTATATTGAACCATAATTTTTTTTAATAATTGAGTCTTGAGTTGAATGTTTTTAACAGGCAAAAAATACTTCAATAAGTGAAGTAGTAAATGTTACATTTTTTTGTCTTTTTTCCTTTTTTGCTGATCGGAAGATTGATCCGATCCAAACCGTGAGAGTTTTGATCCGTTGCACCACGAGTCTTTTGCATGTAGAGTAAATGTGCTAACATCACAGCATGGAGCCAAATGACTGGGATTTTACTGTCAAGGTATCAAACAGAGTTTCACAGCAACCTCGTGTTCTCTGAGGTAACTTTAATGTTCTCTGTTTTGTGGTTAACAGAATCTGCGTTTGAAGACAGAAAGTTAAAAGCTCTGATAAAATATCAGAAGGTGAGTGTAACGCATTCTGCCACAAATCTTTGTAAGGGCAGACTACACGAGCAGGTGCTTGAGTTTCCATACCTGTGGGACTAAAAACACCTGGATTCAGAGATTAAGAGGTGTGGACTGATACCTTGTCCCTCCAGTGTCTCTCTGAGCGTGGGGGCAGCGAGACAGCTAAATTATCAGAATGAGCGACTGAAAAATAAAGTTTGTGTTTCCGAGCAGATGTAGTGTGTCCCTGCAGTCTACCTCGGTGCACCACGCTCTTATGATCACAGCTCCATTTCACTTGCTCCTCAGCTCTTGATTACTGAAGAATAACTTGCACTCAGCAGGACGGATTATTAGAGAATAACTGTCTCATTGTTGCCATTTAATACCCTCCATGACCGTGACTGTGTGCGACTCTCGTATGTTTGATACCTGCCTCGTAGCAACCATTTAAAGGAGACTGCCGGCCATAGCAACCGAGCAGCCCTACGCCTCAGCTAATGTCCCCCTCCCTAAACCTGGAGCTCTATCCATAGCCTTGGGATGGTAATCCCCTAGCCTTACCTCAGGGAACCTTTTTATTGGGCCAGGGCTTTCCCTACAGGGTGCCTTATTGGGTGAGAGCTTTCTCATTGCTCGGGTCTCATGACTAAGAGTTTGTGTCTCTGTGAGGTGGTTGTGAGGTAGTGACCCCTCATTTTCCCCTTACCACCAAAACCAAGGAGCTTAGCATATGCCACAAAAGGAAACTCATTTAAGCCAAAGGGATACAAGCCTGTCTATTCATAACTAAATAATGATGTCTCCATCACAGCACTACCACTAACTAAAAAGAGATCAACAATTCATAACCCCAGCTATTGAAATCCTGTTGACACGATGTTATTCCTAAAAACGAGCTAATAAAACACAAAGCATCCAAATGCGAGAGGAAAAGAAAAACAACTTTCATCAAAGAGCTGATATTTGTGCAGCGATCTTAAAGGCAGTAACAGCACCATGAAATGAACTGAAGCACAGCAAGAAACAGCAGGAAATCTCAAACTGGCAGGCCACTGGCTTTTACTGGTGTGTGTTCACAGAACAGAGGCAGAACCATGCAATCTGTCAAAATCTGCTCTCATGTGAGCAGCAGAATCTTCTGTTATTACTTACCAAGATCTCAATAACCTAAACTGTTATACAGATGCCACCAAAGAAACCGAGACATATCCACACACATCCCTGAAAAAGAAAAGACAGATGTGCGCTAAACTTATCGCACCAACCACGGCTTCTGCTCAGCCGTCTCCGATTTGTGTAACGTTTATAATGATTGCTGTGAAATGTAACTTCATATATCAAATACTTTTCAAGATCATTAAAAGAGGTCGGTCAACCCACTTATAGGCTGGAGGATTTAACATGAACAGAATATTAAAGACAAAAGCTTGAACTTTGTCACCATTAAATGATTCAGAATCGGTCATTTGCCACAGATACGTCCACAATAGTGTCGGTAAGTTAAAACATGAAACAAAACCCTGCAAAGTCCCAAACAAGCAAACTGCAAAATCACTAAATAGTGGTGATTTCTGAAATTCACAATGCTGTAAAATAAAGCACGTAGAAAACTTTCTAACATGAAATTAGCCACAAAAATCAGGAAAGAACCATTTTCATTCAGCGTTCATGTTGAACTGAAAGTCTGTCCTGAGTGGAAGGAAATTCTGGAGTTTCCAGATCATACGCTAATGATAACCGAGGAAATCATTTTGTTAAATAAGTGAATATTTTTATTTTCTAGACCTACTATTTTGAGACCTATTGACCCGGAAGACTTAAAATATACTGAGAGGCAAAACGTGCATATAGTTAACAGAACTTTCTACTGATATTTTTGTTTTTGTGATACTCTTGTTTGCTTGATCCAGCATTAAAGTTGAACGAAAATCAAATTTTGTTCATTTTGTTACTAACAAATTCTAGTTGTAAAGTATTCGGGCTAGTTTTGAATTATTGTGAAATCCGGTCGTTAAGTCTGACGTCACTAGCTGTGTCTGGGTCTAAACTCCGCTGCAGGTCCATATATCAAACGATCACTGTGGCATTACTGAGAGTTGAAAAACTGTCTAAAGTCTTTCATCTTTAATAAAATGATCAGCGTTCTGCTCTACCAGGTGTAACAATTGAGTTTAACATCCAGGCATCCATGAAAACGGAATTTATGACATTTAACGGAGTTAGAAGTTAGCAGGAGGTTAGCTCGCTAGCTTCTATCTAAATACAATATAGCATGTCCTGACTGCGGAGTTTTGGAAACCAATTAAAACGTACAGCTCTGCTATCACTTCCAGCATAAATGAAGACAGAAAACTAAACAGCAGTGACGTTTGTAGGGTTACTGAAGTTGGGCTAGCTGGTATATAATGATGTGCTACGTGACCGCTAGCGACACAGCTATGTTAGCATAATATAAACAAGCTAACTCTTTTTCCACTGGATAAAAGTTACCGTGAGTGTTCTCGGTGGTCAGGAACAAATGTAATCGCATGGCAGGATGCTGTAAAAGGACCAAACTTCAGCCAGGAGAACAACTGAGATAATCCATCCACAATACGAGGTTAGTCATTCATATACTGCTGCATGGGCTGGGCTGTAGCTACATCCTAAGGTTTTAAAAACTGAGCTTAAATAAATGATTAGTGGTAATAAAAGCCGAGGGAGGTCAACAGTGATCACTGACTGTTTTAGGAGCTTTTTGAGATTAAATAGAAGAAAATACAAAACATTAAACATGTTAACAACACAAAAGCCATATTAAACACAGACTACTTTAGGCCCGGAAGTAGGATTCGTCACGTCATCACTGAACAACCGGATATATTTATATACAGTTCAGAAACTGGCACTACTTGTCTTTTTTATATTGGTGTGCTCCCTAATATGCGAGTTTATGAGACAGCTTAAATACATTTGTTATTTCTTCATGTTTTACGCAGCGTGCACTCACTCTGCGCGTCCAGATTACAGACTCTGGTTTATTTTGATGGTTTGACAGACCAGTGAAAATATCATTTTTTTTGACGTATCCATGTTCAAACATTGACCGAAAAGTGATTTTCTATATGAAAATTTCACAGCACTAAATATGTTCAAACGTTGCAGTTTTATCAGACTTGGTTGATCAAGACATGAAACTGGCTGATGCTAAAGATTCACACGTAAATGCAACTTTGTTGGAAAAATAATCCATTTCTTCAGATGAAGCGATCCGAGCTGCACTTGGGAAGTTATTTTATGAGATGGGCAGCCTGGTGCCCTGGCTGGGTGTGGGGTGGGTATGTGGGGGGGGGGAGGCTACAGGCTTAGTATTTGTTATGAAGAGACTTCTGGCTGCGTGACACACAGCGTCTGTCTTGATTTAAGCCTGTCTGGCCTTATTGTAGGAGTCAGGTTGGCTTTAGTGGGCCACACACAAGCAAGCAGTGAAAGGACTTACTAATGAATTGACAATGTTGAAAAAAACACTAAGAAAGGCTGATTATCCTTCATTATGTGGCAGCTGTAGAATAGTGGTGTGTGTATATTTGTGTGTTTTGGTGACAGGAGGGGTTGGAGGCTCCAAAACTGGATCCTGGGGATGTGCTGGGAAACAGGCCTCCTGTCAAAAGCAATCACACAGGTAGAGAAAAGGAGCCACACTGAGGTTTTTAGCCACTAAAACAAACAGAGGGGAGCCGTGCATCCACCCAATTTACCCACACCTCTGCGCTCGCTGCTCCACAACTGCACGTCTCCTGGCAGAGTCAGCGGAGGTGGGTGTTGGGACCACATCAATGTCACATACACATGTGCGTCTGCCATTTGTATAACAGAGCTTCTGCTCCGATTCAGTCATTTCACCGCGCTCCTTTCAGATTCAGGAATGTGAGGAATCCCAGCCCGACCGTTTGATTGTTAAAAGGAGCGCCTCCTTTGGGAAGGAGCCGAGGGTAACGTTGGGTGTTGGGAGCGATGGTCGGGGTGGTTTTTCTTTGATGTGTTTTTCCCCTTCTCTGTGTTTAACCATGAGTGAAGACAGTGTGAAATGTTGGGTTGCCCCTTGTGTGGGATGCACCTCTATATGGGTGATCATAAGACTTCTTTGTCCCTCTGAGATGAGAAAAAAGACAAAATCGACTTGAAGAGGGTGAGAAAGAAAAACGGTTAAACCCAAAGCAAAGCCAAAGGAAGCTTCCTTGTGGAAGCTTGTGGTTTGTTCTTCTCTAAACTGGCTGCAGCAGCTGATGTTCGGTTTGGTGTGATGGCTTTTGTTCTGATATGTACAGAGTTTGATGCTGGAGAATGTTTGATGCACTGAAAGTATTCACAAAATTCCAGGTAAAGTGTATTTGCACATTATTTCCTCAGAAATGAGGAATTAAAAAATGCCTGCATACCCGTGTTTAGCTGTAAAATAAAGAAATTTACATGAGATAAATAAATAACACAGAAACCGTCTTGATGCCTGCAAAATCATCCAGGTGAGCAAATCCCAAAAAGTTGTTTCTGTTTATCTGGATGTAGTTTACAGTCAGTCCAGATGAACAGAGACTGAGATCGCTCGGCTAACCTTTATCCAAAATTTGAATAAAAGGACTTAACATCCAGTCGTTTATGGCTAAAGTGATAAAGAGTGTTAAAACAGTTTATTTATATGTGATTTTACTAACAGTTAATCATGCTTTATATTGCATTTCTATTTTTTGTGCCGTGTTGGAACCTCCAAGGATTTGACGGTTTCCTGTTGGAGTATAACTTCAAACGATTTGGCTCCTTTCTATTGGCTTACACCGACATGGATTAGTTATTATTATAGAACTATAGAAAAACTGAAAATATATAATAAAAAATATAGATAATAAATGATGTGGTTTTGCCTCTTACATCTCATGTATGCGCGGATTAAACGTGTAACCTGGTATTTAAAAGTAAAAAGGTGTCAGAAAAATAAATACTCGAGTACCTGAAAAATCCTACTTAAGTAGAGTAACAAAGTATTTCCCTGTAGTGTGATCCTGATGCTGGCAAGGTCACCGAGCGTGTAGAGCACTGCCACTTCTGACACTCGTGTCTTCTTCGCACGGTCGAGTTCACTGATAATATTTGTTCAGAAAATGTTGCTGTCAGTGTTTCTCAGCTGCTCTCCTTCTCAAAGGCTGCAGAAGGTTGTCAGGTGTGAGGAGTGAACGTCCATCCACGTGGACTAAGCTCTGAAGGTGTCTGCACAGCATGGCTGGATGCTCTGTTCTTCACTACTTAGACTTCCATCCTCTGCGCTTGGTCCGGCCTGATGTCAGCTCCTTCTGTCATATTTGAAATTATTTAGAGGTTTTTTCTAAGGTCCAAACATTTTGGGAAACAGGGCTGCTGCCATAACATTTCAATATCATTCAAATATATAAATGCTGTTCAAGGGCCATCTCTCTTTAAATAATCAAATTCATTTCATGTCAGTGTTTCCTGTTCAGCCGGGAGAAAAACCCAACAGCACAACAACAGCCTCCGGTCGTCGTGCGCCGTCAGTCTGTTCTCACTGGCTCAATGACAGGAGCTTCAGGTCCTCACTTTGGACTGACAAAGACTTGCTCCATGGAGTTTTCAAGCTGATGCAGATTTGTTAGTAAGATGGAAAATCAACAAAAGTCGAAATAGGCAGAGATCCGGTGAATTAAGACTGTTGAGGAGTTTTGATTCCAGCTCATCACACATGCTGAATCTTTGCTTCGAGTCTCACAATAACATAAAACATGCTCATTGTTCTCGTTTCAGGACTGTGTAACCTTTCACAGGAACACATGACGATTTAGAAGACTGAACTTGTGCGTGTTGTATATTGTGTTGTACAGAAACACCGTACACAGCTCATCGCGTTGCACTTCTGTCATGTGGATTACAGCCAAAGCTGCCGCTGCTCATTATCAAAAAGTTTCTAGCTGAGTTTCGAGCCTGGGGCTCGCTCGGGCCACTTCGGAGGTGGGGTGCCCCCGGCCTCTCGGCCTGGGGCTCGGTCACTCAGGCGCAGCTGGCTGCCGGCGGAGCTCACGGGCGCGTCACTGC